CACACCACACACACACACCACACACACCCACACACACCCACCCACCCGCACACACACCCACACATACACCACACACACACACCACACACACACCCCCACCCACCGTGTAGCATCCAGTCTCTCCTGCAACACGCGCCGGTCATGTTCGCTGGAGGTGAGCGCGCGCTGTAGTTTGGTCAGCGTGTCCTCCAGCTCGTTGATCTTGGAGTTGCTGTCTGACAGGGACAGGTTCAGGGCTTGTACCTGATGACACACACACGACACACACACACGGGTCAAGGTCAACACACGACACGCGGTCAAGGTCAACACAGAGGACGCACCAGCCACCACAACAATGTGCTTCTCAATCCAACGGACTTTTCACAGAATTAACAAAACCCCAACAACTATTGACCTATTTCCTGCTTTCATTCCTCTTTTTGAAGGTAAATCTTACAAACCCCACAACAATTGGGTACAAATTCACCAAATCCTCATTGAGTTTGAGAACAGAGAAATGCATCACAACTTTTATTCGAGAAACCCCTGGCTTTAAATAGATGATTTTGGGTCAATTTATGGTATGTGGACTTTTTACCTAATATAATACTCCAATCACTTGTACATATCTAAACAGAGCTTACTCTTTGTGGTACAATCATCATCTTTCAGATTTCTCTCCTACAACTTTCATTAATTTCGCCTATTAAGTAACAAAATGTCCTTATTTCTCAAAACTTCAATTTTGGACGTTTTTTCTCATCTACTTTTCTACTTTCTTTGTGATTCCAGTGAAATTTTCAGGGCTCGTTATTCACACCATAACCTAACTTTATACAGGTGGAAAATAAAATGGATGCATTCATAAGTGAGTTACATGGACGGTTATGTAATCCAATTGAGAGGCATGAAGGAGTGGGTCAGTTATCCATCTCTGACCTTTATCTTCTTTAAGATATCCAAGATCCCAACTGTAGACAATTTTGTATTGAGTATATGTATCAAGGTACCAAATTTGAAAATAACAAATCCTATTTACTTTTATGAAAGCTGTTTATTTTTCAATATGGCGGCTGTTACCATGGCAACCGTAGACTTAAACCCAAAAAATTAAAGTTACATTTTAGAGATGTTTTCCTGTTCTACCTCCTTGCTATAAGGCTTTATCTGAGAGGTCACAGTTACCGTGATAGGCTTATAAACCAGCTAC